GACAGAATTATCGGCGTTTGCGCCCGCAGGTGCATTATTTTGCGGGGCGCCCTGGCGCGAACGGCCGAACGATCCTCGTCGCGGGACACTCTGGCAACACGGTTAGCCGACATAAATATTCTCGGCTTAACGCTGGGGGAGCTGCTGCCGAACAGAACCAGCACGAACATAAATTTTCGAGGGTCTGCGCAGGTTTCTTGGATCTGCGCTGTCGAATGGCGCGGGCGTCGGTTTCTGACTCCGCGTGGATCGCTGAACCTCGAACGACTGCGGCTCAGCGCATGTCTCATAGCGCCCGGCCCCTGATCAACGGAAAAGGTGTGTGACCGAAAAACATATGCGATCGAACACGCGACCGGACGTGTAATGTGACCAAATTCCGTAACCTAAAGCGGAAAAGATGTCGCTTTCGAATCAAGCCTTTCGGACAATCTCGGGCGCCAGTTTTTCGGTCACACTCGTGCAGGTGCTCGCGCACTGCTCTAGCCATTCCCTGATAGAGGCGAAGCTGCGTGACAGATGTGGCCTCCATCGAGGGCACTGGCGGCAATCGATGACGGTAGGTGCAGAGCCGAGAGGCTGGGCGACCTCGCCGCAACGGGCGCTGGCGTGGCCAAGTGGCCGATCGATGAAGGCACGGGGCTCTTTCGAAGCCCTTCCAGCTTCGAGGAACTCCCCTGGACCACCCCAAAGGTGGTCCCAAGGGAGTTTCTCGAAATTCGGCCGCGGGTGGGCGCCCGCGGGGAAAATCCAGCCCTGCGCGCGGAGGCCATGTCGAGAAACTCCCCTTGAGACACCCACAGGAAGGTCTCGAGGAAGCTTCTCGCAGTTTGGCCGCGGGGGGGCGCCCGCGGGGAGAATCCCGCCCTGCGGTTGGAGGCCATTTCCAGCAAGGCCTGTTTTCGGGGCCTCTTTGGGCTTTGCCCCCTCTTGGCCTTGACGTGAGGCCCCGCCTTCTGCCCCCCCCCCCCCCCCCCACACCCCTTCCCCCTTTGTCGCAGGGCCTAGCAGGCGTGGCGGCACTTTCTCTACACCAGAGGGGGTGCGCAGGGGGTGGTCACTCAGCGCGGTCTCTATACGCGCCAATGTCGCAGGGCCCAGCAAGCGTGGCACTTTCTCTACACCAGAGGGAGTGCGCAGGGGGTGGGGTCGCTATCAGTTTCGGCCTCACACAGCGTGGCAGGCGCGGCACTTCCTCGACGCCACAGGGGGAGCGTTGGGGGTGCGGTCGCTATCCGTGTCGGCCTCGCAAAGCGTGGTGCGGTCGCTATCCGTTTCGGCTTCGCAAAGCGTGGCAGGCGTGGCATTTTCTCGACGCCACAGGGGGTGCGCTGGGGTACGGTCGCTATCCGTTTCGGCCTTGCAGAGCGTGGCAGGCGTGGCACTTTCTCGACGCCGCAGGGGGTGCGCTGGGGGTGCGGTCGCTATGCGTTTCGGGCTCGCAACGTGTGGCAGGCGTGGCACTTCTTCGATGCCACATGGGGTGCGCTGGGGGTGTGGTCGCTATCCGTTTCGGCCTCGCAAAGCGTGGCAGGCGTGGCACTTCCTCGACGCCACAGGGGGTGCGCTGGGGGTGCGGTCGCTATCCGTGTCGGCCTCGCAATTATCCTTTTGATTGGCGTCAGCAACGGTATCGGCGGGGCAACGGCCACCAACATCATTCTAACATGCTTCACTTCAGCTCTCATCACTCCAGCCATAATATAATGTAGGGTTCCTCGGTAGCATAATTTTTTCTCGCCCAAGATTCGCTTGTAGGAGGACATGCCCGACCTAAGACTGCACGTGAGGGTGACCCTTCGCCGGAGCGACGTTTGCTGCGGGCTCACAAGGCTCCCCCCCCAACACTGGCCTGCGCGCTTGGAGTTGGCCTGCCCGCGACCCCCTAAAGGCGCGCACCGAAGGTCGCTCTTGCCCAGAGTCGCTCTTGCGTGCAGTCTTAAGTCGGGAATGTCCCTCTACAGGAGGAATGTACAGAAATAGTCAAGAACCCGTCGGGACGACTTTTCTACTACTACTACTACTACTACTACTACTACTACTACTACTACTGCTACTGCTGCTGCTGCTGCTGCTGCTACTACTACTACTACTACTACTACTACTACTACTACTACGACCTAGTAACTACTACTACTCAAATACTACTACCTACTACTACACTACAACTACTACTACTTCAGACTACTACTACTACTACTACTACTACTACTAGCTACAACTAACACCAACTACTATAACTACTACTACTACTATAACTACTACTACTACGACGGCGACTACTACGACTACTACTATTTCTACTACTACTACTACTACTACTACTACTATTACTACTACTAGTACTACTACTACTACTACTACTACTACTACTACTACTACTACTACTACTACTACTACTACTACTACTACTACTACTACTACTACTACTACTACTACTACTACTACTACTACTACTACTACTACTACGGACTATTTTTGAGTATTTTGCTGGCAATTATTTCTTTTTCTTCCAAAACCCGCTTGTAGGGGGACGTGCCCGACCTAAATGTAGTCGAGACTGGCCAGGAGGCGCGGGAGAAGGTGGAGGCCGAGCCGGCCGAGCTGCAGCAGGCCCTGCGGGGCAGCACCCTGCTGGCGCGGCAGAACTACGTCCCCGGACCCCTCCGGCGCCGCGACGCCATCTGGGTGGGCCCTAAAATCGTCAGCGGCACCGTAACGGGTACTCACTGACGGGTACTTTGGGGATGTGCTGAAAGTTGCCGCTTTTGGGCCTCTTTCTGGCATTGCAGCGTTGCCCATATCGGGGAGGGTTGGGTTCGCCGGGCCACTGGCCAAAGTACCCGTTAGTGGAGTCCCCGTTGTAGGGGCGCTGAAATCGAGGCAGTATGGCTACAGATCAAGGCTCCAGGAGTCAGGCGGTGTCGGCCGTGGTGGAGGGTCTAGGAGGGGGGTGCTGGAATGATTTTTGTCGGGTGGGTGGCCCCAAAAGCAAGTCGAGATGGTTACAGAACAAGGCTCCAGGAGGCAGGCGGTGTTGGCCGCTGTGGAGGGTTGGGAAGGGGGGTGCCAGATCGTTCGGGGGCGTCCAAGATCGGAGGAGGGCCACTCGAGACAACGGCGGCACTCCCCGATGTTTTTCGGCCTCTTTGAGCCTCTTGGAGGCTTTTCGTTGTCACGTGGATCCCCCTCGTAACTTGTGAGGAGGGAAGTCGTCGTCTTTACTGGCCCTCCTCCGGCAACAGGGTGTTGTCGGCGGCGAGCCAGGGGGTGAAGTGAGAAGGGGCGGGCCTTCTCAGAAGGCTCGGAAGCCCCCCGCCCTTCTGAGAAGTTCTCGAAACCTTCCCCGAAGACACGGAAATCCTCTCAGAGGGCGCGAGGGCTCCTCCTGAGAAGGCCTCTCCTCCTTCTCACTTCCCCCCCTCGCGCTCGCCGCGGAGGTTGAGGATTGGGCGTGTGGATCTCCTGGCAGGGGGAGGAGGAGGTGGAGGAGGAGGAGGAGGAGGGGGAGGGGGAGGATGGGCGGAGGAAGGAGGAGGGAGAGGGGAGGTGAGGGAGGAGGAGGGAGGATTAGGAGGGGAGAGAGGGGGAGGGAAGGAGGGAGGAGGAGGAGGAGGAGGAGAAAGGAGAGGAGGAAGGAGGAGGAGAGAGGAGGAGAAGGAGGAGGAGGGGGAGGGGAAGAGGACCCACCGCGCATCCTTCCTGTACGGGTGCAGGTTGCACGCCCGCGCCCAGCCTGGCCAGGCCGGCCGTGGGCCCAGGACCTCTGCGCAGTCGTGTGTGCCCTGAATGGTCGCTGGTCATGGCTCAGGAGGGAGAAAAACACACAGACATAGTTAATCATCGATTCCCCAGAAAATATGGGAAAATATGGGAAGTGGGGGGGAAGACAAAAACGAAGAAACTGTGGGAAAATGTGGGGAATCCTTTTGTTTGTGTGTATTTATTTGTGTGTCCTGGGGCCCCTTTAGATGGCCACCTCCTCTTCTCGAGGGCGTTCCCCCGTCCGAGCCGGGGCCTCGTGCCCTGGCGCGGCAGGACCCCCCCCCCGCCCCACCGGCCCCCCTCTCGGGCTCCCCCAGGCGTCGTGACCCAGACGCTCGGAGGTGCAGCCGGGGGCCCCTGCCAGGAGCCGCCCTGCTTGCCTCCAGGGTGCCCTGGGCTGCTCGGGTTGGATGGGGCTTTGCTGTGGACAGCGTGACCTTCCCACACCAGGAATCAGCGGGCGTCCTGGGGTCTCAGGACGTTCCCTGCCCCCCCCGTACCCGTCGTCCGTACCTCCGTGCACCCCCCCTTATCCCCCCTCGTCCGCGTCCCGGCCTTGGGCCCGCCGAACGTTGAGCTAACACGCGTCCTGGTAATCATCGGACATGATCTACGGTGGAGGCCAGTCCAGAAGAAACCTTCCAGAAGAAACCTTCCACGGCTGGGTTCGTGATCGAAATCTTAGACAGAACGGACTCCGGGAGAGGTCTGTGGAGTTGCGGCATCGGTACCTCTGTTGCTTCCCTCTCCCCCACCTCGCCGGAGGATCTCCAGCGCGCCGAGCAAAGCGAGGCGGAGGATCTCTGCCGTGCCTCGGCTCTCCGGGGGGCCCTCGCCCATGCAGAGTTTCTCGCTGGGGCCCCACGGGGAGCTCCACCGAGGGCCCCAGCGGCTTTGTCCACACGTGCCCCCGCCGCCCGTGTCGGCGCACCCCTCACGCGTTTCGTGGCCCCATCGGCAGTTCCACCTGTGGCCCCAATGGCGGTGTTCGCATGCGTCCCCGCCGCCCAATTTTGGCACGCCCCCCGCGCGTGTAGGGGGGGCACCCGGGAAGGCCACCTCGGGGGCTCAAGCCCTGACACCCGACGATGCGATTGCGAGGAGGGGGACCAGGGGCACCTGGAGTCGTGGTGCGCCCGGAGTCGTTGTGTGATCGCCTCCCTGCTGCAAGAGAGGCTGATGCAGCAAGACAGCCATCCACACAAAGTTGGGCAGAGCATGTTCTGGCCTGTGCT